GTGAATCCGTCAAAAACGGAAGATTTTTTTTTCTTCACTTTTGACACAGTTAAAGAATTACATATAAATAATAGTATTTACCACCTGTGTAAACTTTGCTGGTGAATGTTATAATAAGTTTTATAATATATGTTACATTGTTTCATTTCTAATGTAGGCTCTTGTGTCAGATAATCTAAGTCAATGTTAGAGAATAATTAATTTTTTCAGATTTACGGAATCTCAGTTAGCCTGGTAGAAACATAAAGTCACTCCCTAAATTTAAAACCGAACTTAAAACACACCTTTTTAGATCTGCCTTTTCAATATGACACAATTGGTTTGCTTGATTTTTATATAGATTTTTTTTACATAGATTTATATATAGATTTCATATAGATACATTGTTGTGTATTTATTCTATTTATTTTTAATTGCTACATTTTTATTGTTGCTGTTACTTTTGCTCTTTGTACGGTGTCCTTGAGTGCCAGAAAGGCGCCTTTGAAATAAAATGTATTATTATTATTATTATTATTATTATTATTATTATTATTATTATTATTATTATTATTATTATTATCTCGCCGGCGGAGATAAATACAGTAAAGTAATATTCTAATCACAAAATATACACAATAATATGTCCATCTTACTTGTGAAATGGTGTTTGTGGAGCCCTCACATCAATAGTCCATCGATCCGAATAACAATATCCCTCAGTGCTGAGGCATCTTCTGCTGTTTTGGTTGAGCAAAATAGGAGGGACGACCGCTCCAAGATGGCCGCCGTATTTCCTGCGCCGGAGCAGCCAATGCGGGGTCTACCTATTTATGTCTATGGACATGAATACGGGGTCTACTCTTATATTATGTCTATGTTGCTACACACTCATGTACAGTAGGTGGCGGTATGCACCTGAAACTCGCTTGCGATCCGCCATAGTAAAAAAGAAGAAGAAGAGCTACGTCGGCCACTCCCACACGCCTCTCCTGATCTGAACAAAGAGACAAACACTGGTAAGCATCTACAAAGAAACATTAACAAAGAAAACATTTATCATACATTTACGTCTAACAGAAGGAAAATTCAAATTAACTAATGATTCAGAAGAGTTTACTTTAAAAACACTGGCTTGGATGTAAATTGTAACATAATGCTATCACTAGCATACACGAGATAGTATATGAAGGCAAAAAAGCGATGTTAAACTAAAGCATCACGAAAAGCTATAAAACAAGATGCAATAAATTATGGAAACATTAAATGGACGAATGATGAATAAGTAAAATGTAAGGCAGTTTGTGACACTGTAATTTAGGAGGGAGCAAGAAGTAAAAGTGGATGAAAATAAGGTACCCCAATATTTTAGCAATATTTGTAGTCACTTAGCTTTTAGGTATCACACCACCAACAGGTAAAAAGCCTAGTTGTTCAGCTCTCTCTTTTTGAAACTAAGTTGTTTTCCCCAGATAAATGGTCGCACTCCCGTCAAGGATATTTATTTATTTTTTCTGTAAACAAACAGCTGCTTGTCCAGTCAGCTGGCCATTCAAGATGAAGGAGGGGAATATCTGAAACAGGCAGGAAATAAGAATTAGATACTGCTGCTTTTTTTTCTTTCTTTTTTTTTAAATCAATTACACTGCTGCAAAACTGCATAAAATCTTAGGTTTCATGAACTAGTTTCACACAAATTCTAACAAATAAATGTGCAGAATGTGTAGGAGAAATGGATAACATCATAAACATTTCTCTGTCTGTTTTGTATTCTTTTCCTGCCTCAGCTGGCCTCTCCCTGTACCAACCAGAGGCCTGGCTGTGGCGTTTCCAGCATGTTGTGCTGCCGGTCTTTCCCTCTTTTATCAGTCTCATGATGCCCTTTACAGTTGTGATGAATTTCACTTCCTTTGCCTCTATCGGCTCAGTTTTTCCAGGCTGCAGGGTATAGAACGTCTAAGACCAAACGGTTTGATGTAATTTACTGTAGAAATCCCATCCAGATGCTGCGGTACAGCATGCTGCGTTAATGTAGGAGGCGTAGGCGTAGCTGAGAGGTAGCATGTTGATAAGGTGTAATGTAGGCTTGATGCTAATGATGGGCCAAGATACTTTCTTTTGGGCAGATCCTTTCCGCCCCCCCACAATTTAGCTTACAAACCATGTGGATTTGGTAACAGTGGTGACAAAAACCATGAAATATATTAAAGATCAGGTGGTTGGGTGTTTTTTCAGTCATTTACAGTTCTACCAGCACACAGTCTTTCAAATTACCCAGTGCAACATTAAGATAGGAGCAGGTGTTAAATTTACTGATAGAAAGGGAATGGCAGACAGGATCAGGACAGATTAAACTGAAAAAACGGATTTATCTTTAGAGACCAAACTTTTCCTTTTATTTTGATGTACTGACCACAGATGCCAGATTTAACCTTTCACACACAGTTACCTGTTCCTACCAGTTTGTTGAAATTGCCCTTGCTAGACAGTTAGTCAAAAGCCTTTTTACTCTCGGCCAACAAATGTGAGTCTCGCAAGAATATTTTATGTGTCTGAGGTGCTATGATTGAAAGCTGTTAACCTGGATGTCTGTCTGTACCATCAAGAGTCAATTAATTACAAATGATTTTATGACTTAAAAATTCACAAAAGATTGAATTTCACTTTAAATAATGGTTAATTTGTTAAATTTTGAAAGTGAGACTTTTTATTCCTCAGAGTGATTGCATTTCTGAAGCCTTAGATGAGGAACACAAGTCCGGAAATAGTTTTAAATGTTGTACACCTTTGATTTTAAGATTGAGTTGGAGAAAAAAAATATTCAAAGTGTGTATTTTTTTACTCTTGTTAACAAAATGCCCCAAATGCCCCCGTGGTTGGCTAATCAGCTTGTGATGTTGTGTTTTTTTTCCTAGAGTTATCATGGTACCATAACTCCTGGACCATGGGTGTTAAATAGTCTGGGATTTATGGTAATAAATAGATTTATGGAAATAATGTGATTGGCAGTAAACATAGTCCTATTTTTAGCATTATTAACTGATTAATAAAATATTGTAGTTGTGGTAAGCATAACTAAAATATTTTAAATATTTACTAAAATATCTCCTCAATTCTTTTTAAATATTTTGAGGAAGAATTTCTCCATTAGATTAATTTTTCAAGAGATATAAATTGGTTTCTTACTTCAGACAATCTTAAAATTCTGCATTAGTTTTACATTGACTGCACTACTTTTGTTCAAATGTATCATTTTTAGATATTTTTATGTCGGACGCCTCTAAACCATTTTGTGCTGAAATATATTATGATTTTACAGACAATGATGGTACCACACTCGTTTAAGTCATTTACAACTCAACAGTCTCTCTGTCAGAATCTGAGTTCAAACTAAAATTCAAGCACCTCCTTTCTCCCTGCTTCACACCTGTGCAAAAAGCTGTCCAAATCACTGACAAAAATAAACTTAACTGTGAAGGGAGAAAAAGATACGGCGGGTAAAACAAGAGATGAACACATCACCAATTGTTTTTTGTTTTTTTGAATAAGCCTATTTTTAAAGGTGCTACTGATGTGAAATTCTCAGCAGATGTTGATAACAACCCATCCAGCCCAGATGTGCAAAGAAACCACTGCTGTCCATAAATTACATGCAATAAAATGTAATGGGGGGGGGAGGGGTATTGCACACATAACAAAGAGAGGTTGCTTGGAGGAATGGAAAGTCATGACATCAACTTAAATCTATCAGTAATTGGAAAGCAAACGTGCTACTTAATGGAAATTAATACCGGCTGGTTCAGTCCCAACTGACGGCCCACAAAAAGGTTTCTCATTAGCAAAGTGTCTCAAGAACTTCTAAGCCTTATTGTTGCTTAAAGTACTGATTGTCATTTGATGTTGTAGAGGTAAAGGTAGGTTTATTTATGGAGCACATTTTCAGCAACAAGCCAATACAAAGTGCTTGTATCGTCTCTGCAGGACCCAACTGCAGAGACGATTTAAAAACAGTTTTTAATTTAAAAATAATTTATGGCTATCTGTGGTTGGATTTCTTTGCATGTGGGGACATAAATAGTTTCTGTTGACATTTGGACAACTTTCATGTCATTTGCACACTTGGAAGTAAATTTTCTGAAAGCAAACTGATGTGAATCACGTATTTGTCTATATTAATCATGGTTCCTAAAAAAACCCAAAAGTATTCCTGAGAAATTGGGATTTTCGGTGAACCGAGAAGCTTGCATCTGGAATGACATTTTCTAATTCCTACCCTCCTCAATGATCAATGGAAAATTCATTATTGGCACTACAGCAAAAAACCTTCTTGCTTTTTGAATGCTTTTCCAGGGATTTTGATGATTTGTCTTTAGAGACGAGCTCTCGGTCATTGAGGTTGGAACCCTCTGTGCCATCACCCTAATTTTTAGCTCCCTCACTGTTGGATAGAAATCAGGACTGTTGCATTGCGGTGTGCTACAGCTTCTTTATCCCAGAAGGGTTAAAAAAAGGTTATTTTGCAAACCATGCATGTAACAAATCTTACTGAAATACTCCTACTGAACCAAATAGTCCACACTGAATTAGATGGAAAAAAAATGTCTTGCTTTCCAAATGAGATTTTTTTTTTTTTTTTCAAAAACGGGTAGTGCAACTGTTTCCCTTCTAAAAAGTTATCATTATAAGGAGAACAGAATGTGCTTAGATGGGAACCAGTTTTCATGAGCCACTATGTTATTTTTCAAGAAAATTTGATCAGATGCCCTATTTATAAAAACTGGTTATTGGTCATTTAAGTAAAGTACACATTAATAATGAATAATGCACAGTTTGAAAATTGACCTTCAACCACTGCAATATTAATAACTACTCTTAAATTATTTATGGTACAATACTCATTAACTGGTCTATGTGAGCAGATGCGAGGCTGAACTACTGTTTCATATCGCTTTTCATATCGCTTAGTTGTTGTATTAATGCACCTTTTAAACTTAATATTTTACTTTGAAGTGTGGTCTTTTACTTTAGTAATGATGTGAATGCCTAAATAATTAAAGCTATTGAAGAGCATTGATAAAAAAGGACCAAAGTTTATTCTACTGAAATTGTCATTGGAATTGTTGATGATAAATCTTAACCACAGGAATACACTTTTCCAACAGAACAGACAAGCAGAGGAGAGTGAGACATTACAAAGCCATCAGTAGTTAAACTATTATTCAGAGACTCCTTTTTTTTTCTCTTCAAGTCTTTAAGTAGTTGGGTTAGCCAGGCTCTTCTCGAGCCAAGAGTACTCCTGCAGATGGTCGAGCAATAATTTACAGCCTGGATTGTACCAGTTCCACAAAAGCTAGTCATGAATCAGTCACAGCTCACTGGGATGACCCAGCTCCCTTTGGGGCATTCCAGAGAAAGAGGAGGAGAAAAGGAACAGGGATTATGGTGTCAAATGCAGCAGAGAGATCAAGGAGGACCAAGATGACAGGCAGTTCCAGAGAATGCAGCCATAAGCACACAGTGTAACAGTACGAAGGGCATTCTCTGCATAATCTCTTCGTATAGTGTGAAATAATCAGTGGTTAGTTTTTTTAATCAAAACACCAAGAAAATAATTATTTCTCATTGATTTTAAACACCAAAAAAAAAAAAGCATGTAAAATACACGCCCTGATAAACGACTATTCAATATTTAAGAAGTGGTATTTACCATTGAGGATATTTGCATCTGATCTAATATTGTGTGTCGACTGTAAGTAAATGGTAATTCTGCAATTAGTTCTTGGTCAGAGTGTTGCTCACTATCTCCTATTTAAACTAACGTTGCTCTAATTACAAAGTATAATTACTGTGTAAACACCGCTGCTCCAAGCAAACCGAGAAAAATAGAAAAGTCAAAAACTGAGATTCATATTCTAAATGTATGTGAAATCTATTCTACATAATCTTTTTTTTTTTGTTTGCATTTCACACATGGTAAATTTACTATGATAACTCCAGCTTTATCACCCAATCCAGTAAC